AATCTGTCTGACAATGAAAATCTGTTGTATTGTAAAATTCGTTATATCAAAATTCGTTGTAGAAAGAGTTGACTGTATTGTATCATATTATAAACTATTTTTTTTATATTTATCTTTATTAATTTATATTTAATATTCTTTAAGTTTGGATAATTTCTGATGATCAATCATTCATAACACTTGAAAATAAGTATTTTTAAATTCAATTGCATTAATTCTTTTAGCAGATACATCAAAAATAAATATAATGGAAATTTTTGAAAAGGAGCAAATAAAAATGAAGAAATCTTTTTAAACATTATATAAAATATATAAAAATATTCTTTCAAAAAATATTTATATTACATTATATTTTAACAGAATATACCTAAAAAAATTTTATTTGCTTTAGATGCATGGACATCTACAAATGGTTATTCTTCTTTTAGCAATTACAATATATTAGATTACAAAAGATTGGGAACTTCAAGATAATTTACTTGACTTTATAAATCTTTGTGGTCCCTATTCTGGCAAAAATCTTTATGATGCTTTTATACAAAGTTTATCAAAGGTAAAAAATTTAAAAAAATTTTTTGATATGTTAAAAATTAATTATTGCAATAAAAAGGAGAGAAACAGCTGGAAGAAATTAATTTTACTTTTATAAACCAAATATGATTTTCTCTTTTATTACAAAGGTTTCATATATTAATAAACAGATTTTCTTTTTAGATTTTTACAATCACAAGTGATAATGCTGAAAATAATGATAAATTTATGAAGGAATTGAAAACCATATGTCAAGATGATAATATTTCTTTTAATACTAATTGTCATTGCATTACTCATATTATGAATATATCTGTACAAGAAATTTTAAATAAAATTAAAGTAGGAGAAATATAAATTAAAGATGATATATTAAGTAATATAGATATAAATTTAAATACTAGAGAAATAATTCCAAAGGTATATTTATTTTTTTATAAATTATTATTTAATTTTATTTTATTTGTATATTAATTACTATTTTTAATTAATTAACTTCAGAAACTTATAGTTAAAATACAATCTTTATCACAACAACAAAATCATTTTGTACGTTATACTAAAGCAGCTGGTCTTAAAATCTTAATCTTATTTTAGATGTTAAAACAAGATGGAATTCAACTCATGATATGCTTAATAGAGCTTTTGAAATGAAAAAGGTTAGAATAAATATTAATATTATATAATTTTTATTTTATTTTATTATTTTTATTATTTATTTTAGGCAATAGATTTAACTGCAAGTTCAGACTTACTGATAATGAATGGAAAAAAATTGAAGAAAATATTTCTATATTAAAGGTAAAAAATGAATTTAAACTTTATTTTTTATAATTAATCTTAATTTATTTAATGCATTTTTTATTTATAATAATTTATAGTTTTTTATATAAACTACTAAACAAGTTTTATCTGCAAAATATCCTGTGCTTTTTAATATTATACCAATATGCAATTATTTGATGGATAAACTTGTAGCATATTGTAAAAAGGCTGATAGTCAGTTGCTACTTGTAAGTTATAATTATTTTATATTTTTATTTCAATAAACTAACTATAATACTTAATTAATTTTATATAGTACTTGACCTACAGTTAAAGCTTGATTATTATAACGTCAGAGATCTTTGTTTGTTTATAAATGGATAGTCATTACAAAAGTTGTATTAATCCTGATTGTCATTTCAGATACCCCTAATGCTACTTTTTTGTAAACAAAAGAAAAAAGAAAAACAAATATAAAAAAAATATTTTAACAAAAATACACTACCATTCAGACTAACAACAGACTATTTTTTGGATAAGGGTATGGAAAATAAAAAAAGGAAAAAGTTTATAAAGAAAGTAATTTGTTTTTTGCTTGCAGGCTAAACCATAACCACTCTTGAATGTACACATTTTTTACATAAAAATTCTTGGACAAAATCCAACAAGAAAAAGTTTTTTGTTATAATGCATCCATAATAAAACAAACAAATAAAAATAAGTAAAAATAAAACTATGATTATCTCCTATACTTATATTACAAACCCGTTTAGATTGACAAATCACCAGAATTTTCCTCAAAAAGAACCAATTGAACCATATCAAATGATTAGATTATCACCAAGAAATTCAATAAAACAAAGGTTACTATTTAGAAATTGAAGTTCGTTTTAATTTAACTTTCTTTTCTTAAAACTTTTCTACTTTTTTTTAGTTCAACCATCTTTATACATTGAGAAATCCAAATTTTATTTCAAAACTCAAATAAGAAAATTAGAGACTTCAATAAAATAATTTTTGAATTAGATAGTGAAAAAAGTTTTTTTAAATGTAAAAATTCAGATAATAGAATTCCTTTAGATATAAGGATGCATTAGCTGAGATTCATTGAAGGATCTAAAAGTTCTAGCAATTTTTTTTTAAAGGAATAATATAAAGAGATATGGGCTTTGTTCTTTCCCAGTTTTTCCATAATGACATTATTTAATAGATCTTGCATATGATGAAACAGTAGCTACAAGTGCTGAACATTTCTATAAATGTGGATGATCTTCTTTAATTGTATTACATAATGCACAACACCAATCTATATAATATCTGGACATCTAGCATAGGAAGAAGTTCATCCATTAAAGACTTTATTTTGAAAGTTTTTAAGTCTCTGTGCAAATGAAGTTGAAGGTTTGTGTTATCACTATTACATAAGAAGAAAGCAACAGCAGTCCAATCAACCAAAGAAGATTTAGTAGCATGAATGAGTGAAGTGTTTTTGTTAAGGTCCAAAAAAGCAGAAAATTGGATGAATTGAGGTTTTTCCAAAACTTTCTCAATAGGAATGTTTTTATAACTAAGGTGAATTTATAACTCGTTAAATACTATATAATCTAAATTTAGGTGAGGCTTTGAATATACCGCTTTAGCTAGAATATCAGCTTTATTATTGTAAAAGTCTCTTTTACTTTGATGAGTTGTACTGATAACTAAAGAATTTTTACCATTTGCTGCAACATTATCTATATAGTGTAGTTGAGAATTTTTTCTCTGGTTCTAATAGTGATATCTTCCTTGATAATGAAATTTAAAACTATTATAACTATCAATTACTACCTGACTATCTAAGAAAGTAGTAATTGAAAATTGAGGAAGACAAATAATGATTGCTGTAAATAATGCAAAGAGTTCAGCCTGGGTTGAAGATGGGAAATAAAGAACTGAAGCTAGAAAGAATGTTGAGAAGCTTGAATAATCTCAAGACAAATCCATCCAAACCTATTTTGCACTCAATAGTGAAAGGATTATTTAAAGAACCATCATATAAAAAGAAAGTGATAGGTCAGCCATAAATTTTGATATTTTAATAAGCTCCTCTTGATATGCTTTGTTCAAAATACATTTTCTAATCAGTTCATTATTCATATGTCCACTATTATTGAGAGGAAACAAAGAATGGAAAATATCATCTATCTGATAGAGAGAGGTATATGTAACAGCTTCCTTATTGTTTATCTGATATGTATATAATGCAATGGTGTTTTCCAACATTATTTGTCTTAATGGGATGAGTTTTTGTATATTTATCTATGATGATGGCTGAGTTAACATTGTAGATCTGAACACATGTTGTTGGAAGAGAGCCATGTGGTTTTTTATGGGAATCAAAGCTATGTTGGTTGTTTAACTTGCAAGCCTTTGCAATGAGTAATGGATTTATTATTCATTACCGCTTATTAGCAACATTTAGGATAAAAAATGATCATCATATAATTTCATCATAACACCAAAATCACATGAGATTTAGCGCGATTAAGATCAATTAAGATCAAAATCAAAACGAACTCAATAACAAAATAGGCGTCCAACCCATTGTCTGTGGGTTGAACCTTTTATATGTGACTAAATTGAAATTGCAAAATATTAAAATAGCGAAATTTACAAAAAGGTATTTTACACACTTCTTGCTAAATCAAAATTTATTATGAAATACCTTTTCTAAAACTTAGTTTTTAATAGTCATAATGAGTTGTATTTTACCAACCTCTTCAGCCCTCTACCAATGTTTTGCATGTAACAAGTAGTACAAAAGAAAAGCTGCATATAATCGACATCAGCAAGCTATTGCAGCATATAATAACACATGATAGTGTAGAAAATATTTGATTAATTAAAAAGAATAATAATTAAAATTTTTTTTTTTTTAGACAATAATAAAATACAATTATTAAAAGATAATTTTTCTAATACAAAATGATACCCATATACACCCTTAACTCTAAATTATCTTACCAAAAAAACAACAGTATTTCTACTTCAACATTTCCAAAAAGTATGTATCACACAAGGTCAAAGCCATATTGTTGAACAAAGGCGCTATCCTCTTTACAAACTAGTTGCTCTTGATGCTATTATTGATGTTAAATGCTTACCAACTGGATTTAATACAACACATCCGCCTTTACCAAATAATTGTGACTTATGCAATAAACCACTTATTGAAAATAATCATATGAAGTATTAATTTGTGGCCATAGTTATCATTGGAGTTGCCTTATACATTTAGAATATACTATAAGAAAGGGATTGAGACAAATTTTAAATCCTTTTTAAATCGATTAGAAAAAGGCTCTATGACACTTACTGAAGAAGATAGAAATTTGGAAGGAGAGGAAAAAGAAGTTCAGGAGAAGGAAGAGGAAATAGAAGTAATTAATGAAGGTACACTTATAGAAAAAGAGTTGGCAAATATCTGTAATTGGTAATGCTAATTAGTATTGGAAATACAATGAGGATAATTAAAAAAAAAAAAATAATACAATAATCTATTTTATTTTTCACCTAAATTTGAATTTCTTATAACTCTATAGTTCATTCATAACAATTTTTCATCATTTTAATTATTAAATTACTCCCGAAATCAACCAGATCTAATTTGATCTCTATCATTAACAAAGCAAATGAAAGGTTATTTCAATATTTGTAAAATTTTTTCTTGATAAAGCTTAGTGAGAAAAAAGCCAAATGCTGTGAATAAAGATTTTAATTGTTGAGTCCAGAGATCATGAAGGCTATAGTAAACAATCTTCTGATAGGTGCTGGGATTGAATGACAATCTTTGAAAGAGAGAGGAGTAGTCTTAAGATTATTACATTGTTATTTCCATTTCTAAATTGCCAATCAATATTAATAGTTTTTACGTGACTTAATTTGTCAAAGGGGTGATTGGTTCTATTATTATTATTAGTTAGTTGATGTCTAAGATCATCCTTTTTTAATATAGGTCATGTGCAGAGAAAATTCTTCCATTTGTATATCTTGTATGTTCAGATACGATCGTCCTATATAAGAAACTGGTTACACATTTATTAAAATTTTTTTTATACATTTTACAGTACATTTTCGTGTGGCTCATGTTAACAATCTTTGCAATGAAACATGAATTATAATAATAACCAAAATTGAAGCTTTCATACTGTATCATAATACTAATCATTGAATCCTCTTGAATTCTACACCTTTTATATTACTATTTGACTAGCTAAATATGTCTACAAGGAAGAATGTACAGAATGTCAAACTACTGAGTCACCTAAATTCCGATTGCTGAATGGAAAAAAATGGAAAGAAGCCAAAAGTAAAGACTTAGTGAAGATAACATGTGTAAAAGGTGTTGTTTTATGTAATACTTGCTATATGCGTTTTGTATAGAATCCATTAAAATCGAGTTAAGTCACAACTGAGGAAGAAACAGAAACTACAATTGAGGAAGGGTTAAGTGTGAAGATTGATCTTACTGAAGCTATCAAGTCAATGGCAAAAATTCTATACAATAGAGAACATGTGAAGAAAGAAGGTCCAATATACAGGTTTGATTAAATGTGAGAATTACTTCAAGAAAGCGAACTGAGCCTAAAGGATTTCTTTAACCAGCTTTATTCGGCAGCTCAGCCACTTGAACATAATGAACAAACGATGGATTGTATGAAGAGATTCATGGTGTTTATATGCTATTTTCTTGCTTCATTAAATAATACTAAAATCACTGTTTTTAAGTTTGATCTTGCATATTATTTAGATTCGGTAGGTAGAATTTCTTATCATAATCGTAGTCATATGTGGGATTATGCAGGATATGAATGCTCTGATGATGAGCTCATAGATAGGCTAATATTACACAGTTATATAATGATAGGTTAGCAGAAAAAAAGTGCAAGAGGCATATACAGAATACCATCCTTGTCGATTTTGTTGAAAGGTGTTGATGACTATATTATCTAGAATTGAAGAAGATAATATTATCAAACAAACAATGTCTTCAATATGAAACTAATTCAGGGAAAATGATTCAATCAGTGTTAAGCAGAAAGAAACAGACCATTATCTTATAATTAAAGGTACAAAACATTAATTAGTAATCCTTCTTTAATCATACATCATGTGAATGATCATTTCAAGAATTACGCAATACCTGATTTTCCTGCTGTTCCCCTCTTTGGAAGATGGACTTGATATAATAACCTAATGCAACCCCCTACCTTAGATGAATAGTTATCTGTTATCTCCCAATTCCCTAATAATAAGGTAGCTGAACCACATAATGAATTCATAAAACATTTAGGATTAAATTTACAAAACTTTAGCTTCTAATAAAATGTGTTTCACACTCAGTGACATTCCGTCAGAATGGAAATATGCACACATTTAGGTTCCAGAAAGTTGTGTTTCCTGTTTAATCAATTTATTTACTAATAGAAAAAATGCTATATTTATAAAAGATGGTCTCTAACTATTATGATGTTAAAATTGGCATTGATCAAGGAGAGATCATCTCTCCACTTCTCTGGTGCATATATTTCGATTCCCTTCTATGTGAAATAGATAGACTTGATAAAGGTTACAAATTTAGTCACTCCTGGATTACAGATGTTAAAACCATGTCATCCTCATCATTAGCAATACAAGATTTCTAAGGATTTGGAAGACATTTTAGAAGTGGCTGACAAAACTCATAACCAACACAGTTACCTCTCCTAACCCTATCCCATATTTGGATCTAACACTGTGAATTTGAAACCTGAATTGGGTTCCATTTGCTTTCTTGGAGTATGGATCAATGTTTTAATTCACCCAAGTTTGTTAAACACAGGCATTACTAGCCATTTGGAGATCTAAAAAATTTCTTCGTTCTAATCCTACAATCATCAAGCATATTTAGGATAGTTTGATGTGTCCTTTTAAAAAAAGGTCAACATAGATTAATCTTGGGTTGGAGACTGAAGTTTTTACAATATGTTTATCCCATTTTTTGAAATTAGTAAGACCACTCCTGCATTTGATTGATTTGTATCAGGATTACTTCAGAAAGACTTGTGATGAGTTCAGATTTGAGAAGATTTTACATTATGTGTAGCAAATTTAACAGATGATTTCATCAGCTAAATTTTTGTCTATATGGGAAATTTCATTATCTATATGTTTAATGGTATGTTGATGATCTTCATGAAATGTGGTAATTTGATGTTGGAGAAAGGATGAAACGTTTACATTAAGATTGTCAGAATGGTAATTATAATTTTCTAGTGGAGGCAATTCTATAATAGTATTTCAGTTATCAGGAGTTATGAGCAGAGCCCAAAGCGGAATTGAAGAATTTAACTTTAGAATCCAATTTGACTAAGTGCTCTTTATAGAATCAAACTCATTTAATTTTTGCCATTTGGTAAAAGGATCTTTTAGGATATTAGATACAAGATTTGTGTTGTTATTTAGAGTTGAAGCATCATGTATCAAAGAAGAAAGGATTGGTGATACTGGCTTAATCCGTAAGGTGCAAGTCCCTATTGTAGGTTACACTGCAATAGTCACAGGTTCAGACCTCAGCTGAGGCATAAAACTAGACTAATATATGTTAGATACTGGTTGATCGAACTATCACTGGATATATGAAAACATTTCAGAGCTTATTGTCATTTCTTTTTATGATGGGTCCTATTCACGTGTCTTTGAATGGTTGTGAACTTGTATTTTTGAAGAATGTGCATTTGTTTAACAAGGTATACAAAGTATTTTTGGAGGGCGTAAGGAACTTAGTATAAATCATGGCTATGGAGAATTGATTTGATATTACATGTTACTCATAAACTTCAAATATTCTCATTATATTTAAGAATACTTATGATTCATTACATGCACATGAGCAATAAATTCTTCAAAAATAGATCCTAAACTTATTAAATGAATGTTTAAAAAAAATTTTTTCATTAATCATGATGGGAGATTTCAACATTAATAAATGAATATTATGAAAAACTTAAAGCAAATAAAAAGACCAATTTAATAGAAAGATTATATCAAAGAAAGTAATGATGAAATAATATTTACTTTCTTAATAATTCATCTAAAAAATTGGATGAAATTTTTACTTCCTCTAATTTCATAACAGATTTTTTTATTGTGACCCTTGATCATAGAATCAAATATTTTTGCAGATTTTATTTCAAAACAAGAAACTCAGACCAAAAAGAAAAATACTAAAAAAAAAAATTTTGATCTTACCTTAATAACACTTGCAAAATGGCTAAAACACTAGATAAATATTATTAACAGCACAGTCTTAATTTATTATTCTCACTTTCATCATTACACTCTTCTATAAATCAAATTTAGGAAGCTGTTAGAAATTCCATAATAACCATTGCTATTCAAACTATTCCTAGCCTAAAGAAATTGTTACTTTTTAAAGAATCAATAAAATAATTTTAAAATTTAGATCTTCAAGAATTAAATCTAAAACATGACCTATCGGTAAGGAATGGATAGAGAATTGCACAATCATAAAAGATATAATTAATAATTCCTGAATTCGTTAATGATAATGCAAAGGATATTCAAAAATACTTACTTAAATTATATCACAATATCAACCAACAATCTATCAAATATTACATCTATCAACATTGCCTTCAATATAAAACTAATTCTGAAAAATGATCCAGTATGCATTAGAAAAATCAGACCACTTCCAAAATTTTGCAGTCCTGATCCATTATTTGGTAGATGGATAGATCAGTATCAACTAAAACAGGACATATGTGATTCATGATTTAGTAACATTATACAATCATTTGATCTTGAAAGAATAATCTGCTGTATTATCTTAGCTTTCAAATGATAATGCTGCAGGTCCATCAGAAATACACAATGAATTTATCAAACATTTAGGCTCTCTGATGTAGTGATTTGATCTGAATATAAATTTATATTAAACAGATATCCATGATCTTCATTACAGCTATGGATTATTATATGTGACAATCTAAATAAAATCTGGATAAATTCATGACGGATAACAAAATATATAAAATATAAATATCTTACAAATCTCTGATAAAATGGTAGAAAATCCTGCAGAAATCAATGAGAGACTTATTTTAAAAGCTAAAAAAAAGTAAAATACTTATTAGATTATCAGTTATTTATCGATATTAGATATATATAGTAAAAAAATACCTTTACCTGTAC